TTAATGAGTAAGCATAATTAAAAATTGTTGAGTTAAAGTAGTAAGCTCTTAGAAACAATGAAAACCAGGTTGATGAAGTCAAATTTTACACTAATAAACAACAATTATGAAAGCAATAGACATTGTTTAATTACAAAAATGGCTCCAGCTGCCAGTGCACTCCACTTTAAGACTTTCTGAAAGTGTTATAGCCTCTAGGATTGTACAAGCAAATGAAGTTATGCTGGTACATCTAAAACATTTTGAATATCGCATAAAAGTACATCTCTGGTTCAGAGAATGAGACTCATGTATTGTATATAGAGTGATATAGTCCAAAACTTCTTCTTTTGTGACTTTGACCATTATCACTTACAGATATTGAAAACCCAAAACTTAATGCCTCAGAGAAATATTTCATGTTTTGAATTTTATATTTTGAAATGGGTAAATAATTGAAACCCAATTATCAGGAAGACTGCTGACTTGACAGATGTCCAGAAAACATTCATCATCACCCTTCACAAGAAGGTTAGCCCACAAAAGGTAATTGCTAAATAAGCTTGTTGTTGTTGTTGTTACATATTAGCAGAAAATTGAGTGGAAGGAAGAAGTGTGTTAGCAGAAGGCGCACCAGCAACAGGAAAAACCACAGACTTGAGGGGATTGTCTTCTAATGCAGTTATTTTTGTATTTTTGTTTGCTGTTGTTGTATGTCATACCAGCTAACCAAGCAACTAAAAAACAAAAGCAACCGAAAAAAGAAGAAAAACTTTACTATTGCAAAGTAGCAGAAAGTGCCACACTATTTCTTGTCTTGCCATGTATGGTGACATATTGCAAAATCCATCTTATGTTGGTCAAAATGTGAGGAAAGACAGAGGATTCATGGTGCTTTGATGTGAATGTTATTTCTAATTCACTCCCCTTCTAAATAGTTTGGAATTTATATCATGCAGCATACCCTGAGGTATGCTACACCATACAGCCATAAACCCTGATGAAGAACTGACTGCTAGAATGACATTTAAAATGTCCTATAAAAGCTCCAAAGTGATCAGAAAGTACATCAAGTGGTCAGATTCACATCCAGTTTCAAGCATACAGCATGCTAAGGTCAGTGCAGATTGCATTCCTCAGTGGGAGATCAAGTGATGTTATTATTGTTTAATTACTGCAATATTTTAGTAGCAGTTAGGTCAGTTCCACACTAAAAGTGTTAATAGGGTGTGAGAGTTTTGGCCTATTCAAAAAAACTCTTTGGTAATCTGGCCTATCTGATTTGATCATATTGTCTAGTCAAAGCCAATATCAGGGTGTTTATTTCCCTTCCTTCATTCCTTTTCAAAAATAGCAATTTCTTTGTATGTCTGCAATCTTGGAGTGCTTTTTCCTTACAGATACTTACATGAGTAATTTGTTAATTCAACATATAAATTAAGCACAAGTAGTCTTTAAACACCTCTTTTAATGAATATATTTCTCTTCAGTTTTCCACCGAAACCCATTTATTACAAAAGACAAACACTGGAATACCAAGCACTGACATTAAGCACCCATTAATTTAACTGAGCCTCAGGAGCAGAATAAATAAGAAAATGAGGAGTTTAATGGTGCATTAGTGAGGAGGCAGTGGAACACGATCTGAGCTGTCTTCTGAATAGAGAACCCTTCCAAAAACTGAGAAACATCAGAAGAGGAAAAGCTGGGGACTATGAATTATTTCACTGAGAAGCAAGGTGTGAACCAAGTTTGCCATGACTGACCAAAAAAATACATCAGAGGGAAAAAAGATTTTGATATATCACCTGGAAAGGACTTCTTAATAATTATTTAGGTTGTTGGAACCTAATAATATTCAATTGTGATATTGTCTAAATGTGGAATATCCTTGCTATTTAACATGACTAAATGGAACAAAAACAATATTAAAAATAAAAACTTTAATTTAAGAATTTAGTCTCTATTTACCACAGCTGCCGCGTTGAATATAACAGTATTTAACGTTTTCCAAGTCTTATTTTAAATATGATCAGTTCCAAAAGCATCTACGTTAATCAATTATTGTTCCTATATATTGTTACTATTTAGGTTTGCTCTGAAGCTCAGGTTTGCTCTTTGTATTACAAATGAGGTGGGGGCTAACTCAGTAGAGACAGAAAAAAATATGATAGTCTTTTTCTGAGATAAGCGATTAAAATTTTTGGAAACTTGTTTGTAAAAATCTGTCAATATTTCTATATACTAATGATTCAGTGAATTGTATGTCTTTTGAAATCTTGCTAAAAAGGCCTGAGGATTCTTGGATTTTTTATTTTGAGTTTTTATTTTATTTTTTTATACCAGACATGCTTTGGCAAAATATTTTAAGATCATTATACTGAATTCAACCCAATTTAATATACTTTATAAATTTTAAAGGAAAAAATTATTAAAAATAATATTGCAGTTTCCTTTTCAAAACTTGTCTAACAATACAAAAAGCACATTTTTTGTGTTATAGCATCAAGGCCAGTGACTCCAGTCTTCGGGGTATTTGAGAGATGCTTAGGTCACAAAACCAAGGCTTCTCACTATGGTTAACTTGTGAGATAAAGACTCAAATCTTCACTTTCCTGGGAGTCAAAGAGTGGAGCTCAGATCTCATGTAAATAAGAGTGGAATTAAAATTAAAAGATGAGGTCATTTGAGCTAATGTTGTCCTTTATAAAATGTTTTATTGACTGGTGTTCATTGAAACATTCTGCAAAGTATTTTGCAATGTTCCATGACAGTCCTGTTAAAGGCCAAATTTGATTCATTGACCAAGGACATTTTTGGGTGATGGGTAATTAAAGACAACATTTTTTTCATGTTTGCTACACCAGGGTTACAATCAGCATAGGAATGTGTTTCACACTGCACTGACTACAAAGTGAGTTATATTAAACTTATGTTATCTCTGACATCTTCATTTCTTCCTGCTAAACCAGCATCTGCACATAGAGAGTGAAAATATAACCTTGCCTATTTGATTTATTGACAATTAAAGTAGGGTAAATATTACATCTTAATAATTTTCAAAATATTTCACAGCTTTTATTACTGATCTTAATGTTTTGGGGAAAAAAAAAGATGTCAAATGTTTCAGAGGTAAAGATGTGAATACATAACCTGCAGCAATTCTGAGTTAAGTTACATCAGAAGACACTGCAGACTTGACTTAGATTTGCTTATCAAAGACTTGAGACTAGATTTGGGAAAAAAAAAAAAAAAAATATATATATATATATATATATATGATGATGAATATAACTGTACCACATACTATATAAGTAAAATCTAAATATTTTTAATGCACTGATAAAAGACAATATGATGTAATGTGACTTTGCTTTTTCCAATTTAAAACAATTTTGCTGTGGTGTTTGAAAACAAGGATCACACAATACAGAAAAACAACAATAGTTTATTTTACCCATATTTCGTGTATGAACTACAAACTCTGGTCTCTATATTCAATCTCCATATATTTTAAAGGTCATGAAAGAATGCTTACATGAAAATCAATCTCTTATTCAGTTACAGCATATTTCTCTATTTTCACTTTTTGAACAGATTGTTGGCACAAGTAAAATCAAAATAATAATAAAAAAGCTTGTTTTTTTTATTTTATTCTTAAAACATATATATATTTTTTTAAGAAATCTACCACTAAAACAGCATTCCCTCTCAGAATCAAAAAGAAAGGTAGTTGTTAAAAAAGCAATACTGACCAAAAATATTCAGATATCTTACATACAATGGAAAGCTCGACAAATGTAACTGATTTACCATTGAAATTTTCTGACAGTTTTCCTCCAAATAATAATAATAAAAAAAAAGATAAAAGTCTGCAACAGAGAATTTTAGTCCTAAATTCCACCTCTAAGAGCTTAGACAAAACAATGACTGACACCCTTGCCACCCTATGGTATACAAATGTGCCACACTCTACAAAAGTAAGGGGTGAGAAGTCCAGCTGGTAAAAATGTGTAAAACTTAAAGTTAACCCATTTTTAAAATTCACTGTATTGTAATATTACCAAAGCAGAAATTGCCACAAAAAAGTACTGTGTGCTGCACCTTTAATAAATTATACAGGTTCTAAGAACAAATCAAACACTTTCTTGAAAGTCTACAACAGTTTGTACCACAGTGTGGGTCTTTTGTGGAAAAATTGCCAGTATGTTGAAGCCCCTTCATAAATAAAGATACTTAATTGGTGTGGGGGATTAGCTTTGAGCTGTGGGAGGGCAGCAACAGAAAAAATAAATAAAATTCATGAAGGCTCATTTAAAGATTTTTTCATAGATTGGGATCCAGTGTAGATAAAGAGTATTCACTCCCTTGGATGTGTCATCTTTTTAATGTTTTTACAAACCATTCAAGATTTTAAAAAACTGGCATTTATGGAAAAAAAAACAAACAATACAAACAAGCCCACGTAATGTCAAAGTGAAAACAGATTCTACAAAATGACAATTCAATAAAAATATGTCACATAAAATCAGAGATTGCATAAATATCTATCCCTTCTAATGTGACTGGCATAATTCAGCCAACTGGTGCTCGCAGTCTCACAAACTGAGTGATAATGCAAGAAGGAGACCATTGGGAGAAGACACCAAGACACCCAGGACTACGCAGAAGGAGTTACAATCAGCTGACTCTGCATGTAACAACTGTTGCCCAGGTTCAAGCTTTCTTTCTTTTGAAAGAAATGGTTAAAGAACATTATATGTTCTCATGAGACAACACTGGAGCTCTTTGGTCATCAGACAATACGTTGCTTGGCAGACGTTGAACACTGCACATCACCACAAATGCACCATTACCATTTGAAGTCATGGTGACGTCATGCATTGGGGATGCTTCTGTGTAGCAGCTCCTGGAAGGCTTGGAGAGGTAGAAGGTAAAATTAAATTAGCAAAATATAATATTAATCCTAGAGAACAATTTGTTTCCATCTGCAAGAGAACTACGACTTTGCAAAACATTCGTTTTTTAGCAAGACAGTGAATGGCCGAAGCATACAGCGAAGCTACATAAACGTGTTTTGAAGAAAACAATGATGTTCTGGAGTGGCCAGTGCAAAGACCAGACTTTAATCGAATACTGACTTGAAGGGAGTGAATATTTATGCAATCATTTATTTTATGCTATTTTTTTATATTTATTGATAGACATTTTATAGATATTAGTTTTCACATTTACATTGGAGTTGTTTTGTTCAGTATTTTTGTCATAAAAATACACATTTTGTTAATCCAGACTGTAACAGCATGGAAAAAAATTAAACATCCAAGAAGGTGAAAAAAATATGATTGTAAGGATAATTGTCCCGCCAAATTGCTCATGGATCCTATATGTGTTCCCTCTAGTCTGGCCATATGCCCTTGAGTTAAGCAAACTCGGTAAAGAAAACTTAATGGTGCTTCTGTTAGAGTTCTTTTGTGTACCTGGCAGTTGTTTCAGTTTGTGGTACTTTGTTGCAACAACACTGTGAATTGTTTTTTGTTTAAGAAAATGTATATTTTTGTCATAGTTTAGGGAAAAACACAGAATAGGCTGTTCAAATTCCACACACCTTTGAGAAATACAGATTCTACGCTGAATCTTATCATTAGTTTTATACAACAATTATATAAACACCAGGTATTGTTTTCAAAGTCAGTGTTGCATTTCTTGACAACTCTTTGATTTCTATTACCGTATTCCTCTGTCAATTATATTATTATTAATTATTATATTCTGGTATTGTCAATTACCAAAAGTTGGGGGAAGCTTTTAAATTCATGATTCCTTACCTGGAATACAACCCAAAATTCTAAACATCTAAGTGACCAGATGTAGTATTGCAAATGTACTGTGAATGTATACATGTCATGCTTCTTCAATATGACCAAACGGTGTAACAATGCCTTTCACCAAAAATATCCTACTGCTGAAAAGAAACCCTGTTTACTTGCTAAAAGTAAATCTTGGACCATCTGTCTAACCACAGCATTTATGGAGGTTGGCACAATTTTCACAGTAGGGACTTTAAAATGGCTTCCTGGATTTGAATGCCTGCAGAACTGTGTCCATACAAAGCCCATGGGCACATCAATTAAAATGTAAATTGTGTTGTTGCTAAGGGAAAAGGAAAAAAGGCAGGTGCAACTCAAACATCTGGTTGATGCCTGATCCCACACATTCTGCATGACCGTAAAGCCTCTTGTAGCATAAGCCTTGCCACTCAGGGCCAAGTCCTTTGGTTGGCAGGGGCAGGGTGTGAAGCTGGGGCTGCCAAGCATCTCAATGTGGAAATGTGGCACATAGATGACAAGCAATGTGGTCAGACAGCTGTATAAAGGGTTTAAGCTTTTTCTTCAGCTCGTCACTCTGGTTCTGACAGCACTCCTGGCAGTACTGCAGAAGAGGTAACAGGTCCCAGCAAGAATAAAGAACCTCTTTAAAGCAGCCACCTTAATATGCACTGGAACACAGCATTAGAAGGTAAATGTGAGGTCAGGATACATTGGAAACATTTCAAGCAAGGGGAATTTTGCCAAGATGGGACAGTGATACTATTTCCATCCTGTTCAATTACAATAATGCTTCTAAAATATGTATTAATGCTGCTATGACTTTCAGAACAGCGATAACTCTTAATGCCATCAATGGTACAGTTTAATAACAATAAAAGGATCCCTCTAAGTAGGCATGGACTTCTGTCAAGACAACTTTGAGATCAGAAATATAATTGTATTTTGCGTACACATTAGGAACAGAACGACCTTTTGATCAATGAAATTTCATTTAAGAGAACATAAAATCATTAGTAATGAACTTCGGTTTTAAACAGATTTCATAAGTAGGATCTATTTCCCTTTTTCAAGAACTTTCTGTGACTCCATGGCAGAACAGAGAGTGCCTAATGTATGTGACAGTTCCAATTAAAACTTTGAATTGTGGTCAAAATTCATAACTGACACTTTTGCTCTGCCAAGTGTTTTATACAGCCATGTTTTAGATGGCCACAAGTTATTCAATAATTTCATTCGCTGCTGGAGAAAACCCCTAATGTGCTCTAGATTTTCTTCACAGGTGTAAAGTATGAAATTACCCACTCAGATCCAAACTGTAATTATACTAAAATACCAGCTAAAAAGTAATGATAGTTTTTTTTTTTTTTTTTTTCCCAACAGATGTCTTCTAAAAGAGTTTAAGCATAGTTGTAAACCATTCTTTTTCACATGAGAGGAGGAAAAATAACATGTATTAATAGATGAAAAAAAAAGCCAAATATTTTTTTTTTCTCGATTCAACCACAATATTTTTTTTTTCTTAAATAAATAACTTCTGTTTTGTAAAGACACTTTTGAAACAGTAGACATATTCTAAATCCCAATGTCATTGAATGAAAATCACTCCAGTGATTTGCTAAACACGAGCGTGTTGCTCCAGATTGGAGCGTTAGTCCTCAAAAACCAGTTGCCAAGACTGTCCTGTCAGTAATGCCACTGTGTAATGCCAACAGTTTTATGAGTTTGTCAAAAGCGTTAGATTTGGGTCTCTTGTACATTGTCTTTTGAGGTGGCCCGGATTAACAAAGGTTCATGAGCTGAGCTGTGTATGGAATTCATAGCTGAGGCATGGTTGTAGGCAGTCTTGTAGGTATTGTAGTGGTTGAGGTGCTCATGCTCCAGAGACGGCAGAGTAAGGTGGCCCTCCATGCCTGGGCCCCCGGTTACGCAGTCCTCGTCTACATTGATGATCTCAATAGTGCGTGTGGGTGCATGGTGATTCTGCTGGTGATGCTGCTTCCGCATCTTGTAGAAGATAATCAGCATTACTGCTGCCATAAGAGTGATTGCAACGAAGCAGCCAATGATGATTTTAGTCGTCTTCATGACCTCGTCCAAACCGCTGAGTGAGCCCTCTGTTACAGGTATTGTGTAGGGCTTCTCTGTTGCACGTGTGGACAGTGGGGTTCGGACTGTTGTCGTTGTGGTAGAGGTGGGTGAAGGACTTTCCCATATACTGGCAGAGGGTGTGGGGCCCACTTTCTGCTGAACTGTGGTGGTGAAGCCTTCGTTATGAGGTGTTTCTATTGTCTCTACCGTCACTGTGGTGAAGTAGCTGAAGCTGCTGTTCTCTGGAGAGGACACATTCAGTGTGGCTGAGGCTGTTGTGTTACCTGCAGAATTACTAACCATACATGTGTATGTCCCTGTGTCCTGCATGGTGACATTTGTGAAATTCAGTGTGCCGTCATTTAGCACAGAAATTCTGACTTTGTATGCACCGTGCGTCATTATTGAACCGTTGGGTGTAATCCAGCTAACTGAGGTCAGCGAGCTGGCCCTACATTTCAACTCAGCAGCACTTCCCTCTGTTACATTTAAGTCTGCAGGAGGCTCCACAATAACGGGAGCATAACAATGAAAGTAATTCTGGTCCAGCTCACCAATGTAGCGGCCCTTATACTGGGTGGGTGAGCTGCAGCGGGCACAGCAGCTGGTGTTAGCAGGTACCATCTCCTTAAGCCACCAGCTTAGCCACAGGATGTCACAGTTGCAATTCCAGGGGTTATGGTGCAAGTGCACCCTCTCCAAATGATGTAAAGGAGTAAAGAGATCATGGGGCAAAAGTGTTAGGTTATTATGGGCAAGGTTAAGCTCCACAAGTGACTGAAGGTCATCAAATGAGTTCCTCTCTATAGTCTGGATTTGAGCATGCATCATCCATAGCTTTTGCAGGTGGATAAGCCCTTTAAACGAACCAGGCCGGATAACAGACAACTGGTTTCCAGACATTTCAAGTTCATCCAGTTTGACCAGTGGAGTGAGATTGGGAATTTCCTTCAAATTGCACATTCCCAAATTTAGGTAGCGCAGATTGCTCAATCCTTCAAAGGCTCCCTCTGAAATGTATGAGAGCCTTTTGAGCTCCCCTAGGTCCAACCTTCGTAACGAGGGAACTCTGTTGAAAGCATAAGAAGGAATGCTTTCTATTGGATTATTTCTTAGCCAGAGCTCCTTTAGCTTAGACAAGTACTCAAATGCTCCGTTTGGGATGGTAGTGAGTCTATTATCAAAAAGCTCCAAGGTATTGAGGCTTGCCAGTCCATTGAAAGCCCCCAGCTCAATTTTGCGTATGTGGTTTTTGCTCAGCTGCAGGATCTCCAAATGTCTTAGATGTTTGAAACTGTCCACCTTTATCACCTGTATGAGATTTTCTTGCAGATTCAGATAGCGTGTGTTGGTAGAGATGCCATCAGGAACTTCTCGCAAGCTTCTGCGGGTGCAAATAACCTTGCTAAACTGGTTACTGCAGGAGCAAACAGAAGGACAAGTTTGAGCACGCACCAGTCCTGCCACTACCAGCAGCTGGAGGGCTAGAAGCAGCACAAATAAAGGGTTGGACAAGGCCCGGTTCCACCTAGGACCTCGCATCATCTGCTGCTGCTGGGAAGAGGTCATCTTGTTGAACATTCATAATTCATTGACTGTTCTTCCACTCTTTTTCATGAGGATGTGGGCCAACTGGAATGAAATGACAGAAAAGAGACAATCAATTAGAATAAATAACTTTCTTAGTATGATGCACGTTAAAGATTATCCTGATCGGTTTTATTTGTATGCTTTACATTCATTATAACAAACATGATTAGATGGCAAAACCATGCTTAAGCTAACATCAAGAACATATTAGTAAGTCTATTAGCTTTTATTCAAAATGATTTGCATAAGCTCAACTGTTGGAAGTCGTATGTTGTTACCGCTCCACTTTAGTCTCCAACCCACATGTTTTCCTAACTCAAATGTATTTATTTTAGATCACATTGTATTCTGTGCAAACAATGTATATTATATAAATTATTTATTCATATTTTTTTTATGTTGAGAAATGACTGAAGACCAGCTGGCGACTAACATTCTCTGCTTCAAGAAATGTACAAGTGATGGTAAAATGCATAGGATAATTTGAATAACAATGCAATTTCTTCAAACAGGCAATTTACATCTTAAAAATTTACATTGAAAGAAAAAAATATTTTAACATGATAGTTGTAATAAACACAAACTAAAAACTAAAGCAATGCAGACATTGCATTTTTGACACATTAGGCCTAAATGATGGTGGCAGCAGCTGTTCTGACACTTGTCAATATCGGCACTGGTAGGCAAGACTTCAGAGTTGCAATTAAAAATCAACCAAGCAGTTATATTTAACAAAAAAAAATTATGAATACAGATACAAGTTGAAATGTACAAATGAAATTGATTTGGTCACTTGTATTTATTATTATTATTGTATTTATTATTTTGAATTAGCACCCATTTTCTCTATATAGGTGAAAGACAAGGAAAGATTGCGTAAGTCCATAGAGTTTGATAAGAAACAAAAGTAATTTATGTTTTGAGAGAAATAGAAAACTGGAGATTATTCTTAAGGAATTTAATCACTAGGCTTTACTTCAACAAATCTGTAGTTCTCTTTTTCATTAGATTTTCTCTCTTCCAGCATATTTGCTCTTGAAAGTAAGGAGTTATTTATTGACCATAAAAATAAAGAATGATTTATATTACCCAGGAATGCCTTTTTTTCAGTAAAACTACAAATATGTGATGGTAGGCTGATGAGAACATAGAGCATAATTCCCATTACTCAATGGAATGCTTGGGCTGATAGTACAGTAGAAGACTTTTAAGGAACTGTGCCACTGGATTGCTCCATTTTGTGACTGTGTTCAGTAATGTGTTGCTGATTCTGCAACAGAAAGCTCTCCACTTCAGGACGAACAGGCTATTACTGTAACTGCTGATTAATTGCTAGATTACTGACTCCATTAATTCTTCAATTGCAAAATTCAAAGTACCCAAATCCTAGGGTGGAGAAAGAAAGTGTTTTCATTCCAGCAGGCAGACAAATGTGACAGGGATCACACACCACACTGAAAGTCACTTTAAATTATACCTCTTTTTTTATATATGTACACATTTGTGGTATGCCATACGGAGAAGTTAGTTACCTGTGTGTGCCAGAGGACATTTGTTCTGCAATATAAATATCTCAAGATGGAATCCAAATTGCATGATTGAATTCATTAAATTAAAATAGATTTAGTATCAAATTTGGAAGGCCATATTAATATAATAGTAACCTGTAATTGTATGACCTTCAACCATTTGGATGATTTGTGTGTCAGTGAATACGTGTGGTGACTGGAGGTGGGTGGGAGGTTATATTTGTAGAAATAATAGTGCTTGTGTTGAGTGGATGCATGTGAGAAAGTCTGTCACCTGAAGTTAAAAGTGTTGAAAATGGTTGAAACCTTGCAACATGCAGCTTCATAGAGACTGAAAGACAGGCCGACTCGTCTCTGGAAGATCCCAGACACAAGGCACAACGCCGGCCCTCAGCTACCCCCCCTCCTGTCCCATCATGTCGCTGAGAACTCCAGTCTCCAGACCCAACTGAAGAATGGTGTTGCATATGTTAAAGAGGACCAGGTGAGCACCATGGCACAGGCACCATTCTCACTGGAGGCCAGCTCCCCAACTGGCCCCACCTTCTGCCACCCACAGTCAACAGTCAAGTGCTATATATTGACTGACCCCTAAGTCAATCACCTTGATAAGGTGGGATCAGTCTGGGAGAACTTGGATCAGCCAGGCAAAGTGAGCCCAGCATCAGCAGCTTAGAACCCAAAGACCCGTCAGTTCAGTCAGGACCACAGTTTCACCCCCAGGTGAGAAGACCCACCCTCCAAACCCCCGTTGTCCATTTGGGCATAACCGTAACCCCATAACCTCCCAAACCACACTTTGTCCCACAAATGTCCCACAGCAGCACCCCTACTTTCAATTATAACTTATTTCACTTGCTAAGAAGTAAAACCTTACACTTGACAAAACAATATAGTTCATTTTAGGTTGCTTATTTTCCACCTGCCATAGTACTAGCATATAAGTTCAGTAGTATCAAATATGCTTATAAATACAAAATTAAAAACTTTTCATTGGTGAAAATTGTAGTTGCTAAAATAATTAAAAAGAAAAACAATGTTTCTCTTCTCGTTTTTGCTGTTTCTTGATCCCTTATTCCAAAAGATCGAGCATTGAAAAAGATGTAAACAATGAATCAGCAGAAGAGGCGCAGAAAACATGAAGCCGATTTACAAAGCAAAACAAGATGTCAGCATAACAGCAATGGAAGCACAGCACTGGATTTGCGTAGTGCACAGATAGATTTAGACATAAAGCGATAACAAGATGAGATTAGAAAGATAATACATCTTTCAACTTTTGAAAAAGATTAAAAGTCGCTCTCTAGTCTTTGTCTGCCAGAGAGAGCTGAAGACTGACCCAGATTAAAATGAGTTAGACAATTGAGGATCAAAATTTAAAACATTTTTAAATACTGAAAATATTGAAAATTTCATATGTTATCATGCAGATATCATAATTTCCATATACTTACAAAGTAAAATACACCTTGATGCAGCTTACTCCGAAGACATATTTGTTGACGTCTAAAATATGCAGCAGAGTTGCTGGACAAGATAGCATGTGACACCTTTGTCTTTGTACTAAACTACCACAGCAACAGACATTTACAAATGTGCCAATTAGAAATACAACTCACCACATTACCCTAAGGCGTAATGTGGTGAGGGGGCAGTTGCATCAGCAAACCAGCTTGTTTTCATTTTACTCCATCAGATATGCCATCAGACCCCTTCAGGTTCATAAGTAGGAGAGTGACTGATAATGGAGACATTTAAATGGCATAAAAGTAGTTTGATTATATACAATATACTGTATATCTGGCTAACATTACTCACTTCTATTAGCCATTAAAAACAGCATAGTACTCAATAGTGTTTTTTTTTGTTTTTTTTTTTTTTACATTTAGAAAAGTTAATGAGAAACATTTGAAAATGAAGCAGAGATAACATTTTTACATTGGTATTGGTACTGCTCTCAGCAATAGCAAAAAAAAAATAAAAAATGCAACATTTCCCACTCCAACAATTGTTTCCAAACTTAAATGGCAGTTAGCCAAAATCCAGATATTCAAATAGTTCAGATATTAAACCGTCTCCTGTTTAATATCTGAACTACATTATACAAAACCAAAGTTTCTTCGATTAAAATTTGACAATACGTTCAGTTAAGTTTATTACATGTTTTTACATTTTTGCTTTATTGCAATCAACTCAAGAGGCATGTTTCATGTAGTAATGAATGACAAACCTCTGTTAAAGTCCTTCACGGACAAATTTGTGTTTCCTAGCGATAATATTGTTTGACTGGAAAAATTTTAAGCTGTGACTGCTGCGAGCTATGCAGAGCAACAAAGTTCATAAGCCGTGGTCACGCCCATGGCCGGTGATCCGTTTACGGGAGATCATTACTTTTGGGACCACAACAGCAAACGTGCATTTGTGACTGGTTCTAATGATTTTAAAACTGAAACCTTGAAAAAGGATAATATAACTACAAAACACATTACATGCCACAATAAACAACACCCAAGTCTCCAAATCTCTCCCCACTATGCCTTTCAGTGGCTGACAGCACCAATCATAACCGGACATGATGATGAGTTTAATGCTGACTGCAGTATCGCAAAACAAGAACCTACCTTCAAGTTTCTTAATACTTCGTCATAAGAAATATGGCTTGAGCATAATGAAATGTTCAATTTGAGATATTGAAAAGATCCTTAGGTTTGGAAAGCTCATAACTTTGGAAAACAGTGTATTCAGGTTTTCATCAAGAAGGTATTGTCATGTTCTTGCTCAAATGACTGACTCACATGCACAAATGCTCCCAGGAGGCAAGACTTAAAAGGTTTATTGTACAGTGAAATAAATGGTGTAGATGGTCTTTGCTCCATAGGGATTTTGTCTCAGTTCATGACGACTAAGTTTCTGAGGAAGGAGAAGACAGGTGATTGGAGGAGGTTGAAATGGATCGTGGACAAATGGTGGAGGTTTTGCCTGGGGGAGGCGAGCGAACTCCAGGATGATTATCTGTGTGGCGATTATACATGGAGGACTTTGGTGATCTGAGCACAGAGTTTCAGATGGAAACATAGAAAGGAGGACAGGTTGCCCATTGGTGGTTGAAATAAGGAGCACAATGGTTGTCAGTCATGAATGATGTAGAGTAGTTCTGAGGCAGAGGAAGTTGGTTGATATCCAAAAGCTCTAGGGACATGCAGCTTGGAGTCAGCTGCTTTAAAAGGAGAGAAAACACAGAGATTAATCTTGATGCATGACACTAGGCAGCTCACTAGAAGAGACAGAGACTTAGTTTGCCACTCAAGCAGTGAGAGACTGACAATCCACTCCTCATAAACACTGGGAGATTGGCCTGATTGCTTGCAGGTGTGTGGGAGCACACCTGCACATCTACACCTTCCGGGATCGGCGGCTCCGGTCCAATTACACCCTTTGGTGGGAACCTGAGATTCAGGAAGAAACTGACACAAAACACACACACACACACACACACACACACACACACACCCT